ATTACTTAAAATTATTTAAAATATTTTGCATTAGGCATTATGAAATATTATTCACAAAAAATATGTATAAAAACAAGTAAATTTCCAGGAATAAATAGTAAGAAAATGGATTAAAAGATATAGGCTTAAATATCGTAACTATTTTTTATTTTTATGCCACTATCTGTCAATGAGTTGGAGTGACAAAATGTTGTGAACTACAAATAATTAGAATATTAAAGAAAACTTCTTATTCCTTTTCTGTCACCAGTAGTATCTTTATCAAACACAGTTGCACTGATTGTAATTAATCATTACTATTTTTCTTAACAAGAGTATGCTTGATTTAATTATATGGGAGTGAAAGTAGACTAATTTTAAACCATTGTAAAATTTTGGTTTTATGAATAGTAGACTTCTAGGACCAGCAATAAAAATGAAACTTAAAACATTTTTGAGGTAGATAACTTGTACCATATAACCAGAAGTGCCAAATAACACTTATCTTTCATATATTTGTTTGTTTTAAGTTATGCACAAAGCTACACAATGAGCTATCTGTGCTCTGCCCACCACGGGTATCTAAACCCGGTTTCTAGTGTTGTAAGTCTGCAGACATACTGCTATGCCATTGGGGGGAGGGGCATCTTTCATATAGTGTACTCGTATGTTGACTGAGAAAAAAAAACAATTGGGTCTGGGATGTTAGTGTTTAGGCTTTAATTGCTCATAAAAGTTAATTGGCTAAAGGCCTGGTTACTTCGTGGACCATTTTATTATATCCTTTCCATTTCTAAAGAAGATGCTTCGAATATAGAATAAAAGTTATTCAGCAGTGGAATGTTGTATTATGTATAAAAAAAAAAAAGTATGTGTCATAGCAAAATTATGTGTAGAAAATAAACAAAAGATTTTTTTTTTAATATCTATTTCAAATCTATTCATACCATTGGGTGTTTAATCGCCAGTTTACTGAATTGTGATTATATAATGAAAGAAGCCAAAAGCTTTATAGCACTCACTATAAAATTAACGAGGAAGACTGAATATTCTACTATGATTATGCCTTTGACAACGTGCTGGAAATACCATTTAATAAACATCAATATTTTGGCTAGTGATTTATTCAAAAGTTCATCACAGATTTTTTTTCTTTTTCAGTTCTTGTGAATCCAAAAATTTACTTGAAAACTGGAAAAGTGTGATTTTTTTTTTTCATTTTAATTTTCATAGTAAGTTCTTTTAAATTTGCTTGAGATGTCTGAAATATCTTAACAGAAGGATGGACACTTGTTTTAGGAATATACGTTTGTATATGCATATATAAAATATTAAACACTGAAAGTGTTTTTATAATCACATGTTTAAATATTATTTTTTAGAAGGTTAATGCAAATTCTTATATTTAAATTTTATATTCCTTTGATTTTAAAAAACGTCTTTATGACAAGTTATTCATAAATAAACTGAATAACCATTAGTACATAATTTCATGTTAGAGTTAGGATGTACGTAGGTGTAACTATTAACCTTTAACACTTGAATGTATTCGTAGAGATATGTCACTTTATATTCATTTAATGTATCATCTTTTAAGCTTGAAAAGCCTTAATAAAACTAATTTTTCATTTTTGTTCTAAAATCTGTTATATGAAATGTATTTTTGTATAAAAGAAATGGTCTGAAATTTACGCAAGATTATTTTTATATTCCGGTATTATACAACAGATTAAATCCTTACTTTTCTTGCTATTTGTTACTTATTTATAGGCGTTGTTTATTAGCAGCCGCTGAAAGTTTTAACGTACGTCTACAATATCGCGATAAAATATTTATTTTATGCAGTGTTAGCTGTGTAATATTACGAGTTTGGGCGATTCGGGAAGTCGGGTGTTATGTAGACCTCTTCCTCCCTCTGTCGCTGATGTTGTGAACCGTTAAATTAAGAGCACTGTTAAATGCTAAACATCACATAAATGATAGTTAGGTATTTATGTTCAACGTTGAGCATTTGCACTGGCACAAACTCTGCTTCGTTTGGAATATGGACAGTCTTATATTACACAAATAGTCCCATATATATGTATTCCAATGCTTATTCATTCGATAATATATTTAACATAAATATCCTAGCGATACATGGCGAATACACTAACACAAATGATATGGTTAAATAAGTCTAGCAATAGGTGGCTGATTGCTATACTTTTGTACATATTAGTAGGGGAAAATAACTTCCACTTTTACACGATCTAGTGAACGTACTAGTTAGTTTTTGTTTAAATTTTTCTGAAAGTAGGTGACCGATCTATTCAAGTTATTTTTTTTTTTATGTGGGATGACAATAGATAAGAAGGTAAATTAAGAACAATTAACCATAAAAAGTGAAACAAAAGATGTGAATGGTTCATATAATAATATATTTTTTAAATAATTTTACCAAGACTGGTATGCGTTCCTTTAAAATAATCAAGTTAAAATTATAAAATAAATCAAGCGATATTACATTAAATCATCAACAAAGATGTAAGTTTACAGGATTATTTTTTTATTGTGAGAAAAACTTAATAAAACAACTTTTGGGCTAAACTAAAGCTTTTGAGCTCTTCGTCAGGTGGGACACAATGTGAGTATGAACATTATAAATGGTTTACTCGTGTTTCCTGTGACATTTAATACATGAAAGTAATACTCCATTTAAACCACATTGTGTAGACAACATTTCTTCGAGTCATTATTAGGCTGACTTATCGTGATCCGCACAAATGTGGTCGAAACATGTAGCAAAATATATGTGTTTTGCAATAATATATAAATGTGGTTTAAGCGGTGTATTACTTTTATTAATGAATGTTCTAGTTTAACGTAACGATGTAGAATAGTACATAACCTGCAACAATTCACTGTGTCATAAAATAGACATAGATGGGTTAAACTGAAAGAACAAATAACAGTTTCATTGCCACCGGTAACCTGATGAGGGACTGTTGCCCGAAACGTCGTTTTCTTATTTTATTAATAAAGTTATTTTAATTTGGCGAGTTTTTTTACCAAAACTTTATATTATATTTTGCATTATGTTATTTCCTCGTCTACGCAATTATTTTATTACTTGGTGTTTAGAAATAACCGATTTATTCTACGTTTGTCCAGCGTTAAGTCCGAGGATTTACGACGCTAAAAATTGTTTTCGATTTTGGTAAGCAAGGTATAAATTGTCCGTTGTATAACCTTGTGCTTAATAACAAACAAAAATTAAACAATTTACCCATCGTAAAAAGAAGTAGTAACGTTTTAAGTTCATTTATGCGAACATAAAGAGCTGGCCCGGCATGGCAAGGTGGTTAAGGCGCTCGACTAGCAATCTGAGCAGTCACGGGTCCGAATCCCCGTCCCACCAAACATGCTCGCCCTTTCAGCCGAGGGGGCATTATAATGTGACGGTCAATCCCACTATTCGTTGGTAAAAGAGTAGCCCAAGAGTTGGTGGTGGGTGGTGATGACTAGCTGCCTTCCCTCTAATCATACATTAGGGACGGCTAGCGCAGATAGCCCTCGTGTAGCTTTGCGCGAAATTCAAAACAAACATAAAGAGCTTTACTGGTTTCTCTAGTACGCTGTTATACGTACACGTGTATGTACATACATCAACGTAACTTTGGAAATTCAGACCTCTAGCTTCTGATAACTGAGTACTGCTATCATACAAGTTTATGCAAATCTACGTAAAAAATTTAATTTTGACGTTTCGTACATTATATCCTTAAAATGTTTCAAAGTATCATTTATTTAATAGTAAAATACTAAACTCATTTTTTATTAATTACAAACTTATTTAAAATAGTAACTTGACAATTATTTTTCTGGAGTTGTATTATTCATAATTTTAAAAACATATAGTCTTGGAAGTAATTACAGATATGCATAGATGATACACATACAAAAGTTTGTTTGTAGTTAAGTACAAAGCTACACGCCCCCCAGTGGCACAGCGGTATATCTGCGGATTTACAACGCTAGAATCCGGGTTTCGATACCCGTGGTGGGCAGAGCACAGATAGCCTATTGTGTAGCTTTGTGCTTAATTACAAAACAAAGACAAAGCTACACAATGGACATTTGTGCTCTGCCCACCACGGGTATCGAAACCCGGTTTCTAGTGCTGTAAGTCTACAGACATACCGCATACAAAAGTAAAAAAGAATGAGTAGTTGTACTGAATGATAAATTTATCACCTGTGTGATATTCCCGGTAAAACTGTCTTTCCAGCAGAGCAATTAATTAAGCCCGCTAACCGGAGGTTCGAAAAATACTGGATTACGAAGGAAAATGCTCTTTTGATTAGCAAACTGCGTTGTCGGGAAGAACAACTAAGATAACAACAGTTTCAAAAGTACACATAACAATTTTTATTCACAAAAACACAGATCAATTACACTACAATTGCAAAAATACAACAAAACATGGACAAGCGTTCAGTGGTGTCAGTTGAACCGATATGAGCGAAAGAAGAGATTATTAAATCAGCTCTTATTTGTTTGGAATGTTACCCTCTCTAAGTTAAGCTAAACTCGGAACTAAAACTAAAAATGAACCCCGAGTTA